CAAGTGGTTTGTGTGTTTGTGCATCTTCAACCTAAAGTCAGTCTTGTTTCTAAATTATTGCCATTATTGACCCCTGCATATGAATTGAATATACAAATATCCTAAAGACAAATTATCAAGTTTGTTACTACCAATATCCGTCAGACTGTAAGTTGGATCTTATAGCTTCTTTTTGTATAATGTGTTGTAATGGAGGAGTGTGTGGGTCACAACTATCTCTTGAGTTTTTGGCAGCCATTACTCCTGTCCAAGGAGAATGTAGAATAGTTTTATTTCTGTGACTACTTAGCTGTCCACAGAGAGTAACCTACAAGAAAAGACGCTGTCTATACACATGCATACACAATGAGAGAGGGGGGAGAGAGAGAGAGAGAGAGAGAGAGAGCTACTGATGCATTGCAGATAAACTGCAGAACCCCTCCCGTTCTCTACTCCTATTCACACCCCCACCACTCTTGTTGCTCTTTTTTACCCTACCACTATAAATGACATCATCATTGTCTTCAGACCTCCCACTAACATCACCCCATTTTGCCAGCTACAGCCTGTCACACCCTGCATACCTCAACATCTCATCCCCTCAACCTTACACCTCTCACCCATCCATTTCCAGAACCAACAAAGCTTTTGACCTTTGTGGAATTTGCAGTCTGAAGTCTTAAGGTCAATTACAGATGTTAGATTGCCTAACAAATCAGCAATGACTCAGTGGACTCTGTTTTTCTGAAAAACCTTATGAGTTTGTCCAACAGTTTTTTTTTTTGTTTTTGTTTTTTCTTTTGGCAATTTTGATGACTACCAGAGTCGGCACATCGTGCGCATATTGTCTACAAGGATCTGAACCGTGCACTTATGTCCATACTAATGCACTTTGACGTAGCTAAACACATCTAAATGAAATGTTTTGCTAACATGCAGTATGACTTTTGAAATGCATTTAAAGAAAGACTTAAATTATTTACTATAATTTTAAATTAATACATTTTAGGTCAACTTAACGCTACCTTTCTGTTACACAGTACATCTGATTACACACATTACCACAGGTGTAATGGTGCAACTGCAACCTTAGTACCCCACATGCTTATGTGAAATGTCCTGTGGAGGATACCCCCATGACAACTGCTTGTGGTTAAATGAAGGTAAATGATACCAGGCATATCAGATGGATGCTGGTGTTGTAGAATAAAAAGTAATAATGTTATCAAAATGAGCAAGATAAGGCAACTGTTATGATGACTAAGAGGATGTGAACCAGACAGAGGGAGGAAGGAAGAAAGTCAGAGGAGCTGGGAGCAGATGAAAAGAAGAGCATGATTTAGAAACAAAGATAACCATGTAGTAGAAAGAAAGAAAGAAAGAAAGAAAGAAGGAAAGAAAGAAAGAAAGAAAGAAAGAAGGAAAGAAAGAAAGAAAGAAAGAAAGAAAGGAAGGAAGGAAGAAGGAAAGAAAGAAAGAAAGAAAAAAAGAAAGGACGGAAGGAAGGAAGGAAGGACAGGCAGCCTGTTCAAAATGGTGTCCTGAGCAGCTCAGTATTTATGCTGGCTAAAATGTCAAGTCATTCTGTCTGGCAACCTGCATCCAATACAGCTGTCCTCTATGTCCCTCTCAAACTATGCTAAGCTAGTAACATACATGAAAGAAAGATACTCAGTGTGATGAGACCCATTCAGTACTGTAAATTTGTGCAAATAGATAAGCTGATATTTGTGTTTCTGCTGGGCCCCTTACTAACAACAAATCAAGGACATTTTAAACTTTATGCAGTCAGTGATATTTGGGGTTAAGAAATGTTTCTCCCACTTGGCCATCCACATACTTTTGACTAAATATCATTATTTGCATTTAAACTAAAATTGTGAAAACTATAAAACATGTACACTGGCACTTGCCAGTGACAGGGTTCATTGATTGTCTGAACTTACACACTTACACATACTGTATATAGGTTCAGGGTTGAGCAACATCAAGATAAATTAAAGGTCTCTGAGTTTGTGTCTCTCTATATCTGAATATCATTGTTTCTCTCCAATGGCTCATGACATCCCCTGTGTGTCCTCGTGAATATATAAGGGACAGCATGGCAACTGGCAGTTGTGTTATTTTTTATGACACATCACATCAGTATTTGACCCTTAGAATACTCCAGGTACTGCATTCAAAACTTTATTTTAGCAAATGCATACTACATATACAGACAGGTGACATATTAAAGGAAAAGCTAACATATTGTAAAGTGTTGGGCCACCACATGCTAACAGAACAGCTTCTACGCACCAAAATCTCCCATAGCTGTTCAACTTGTTGAAATCTGGTGTCTGCAAAAATCATAGCATATGTCATAATCATAATCATCAGACTATTCATTTGACCCCTCATGCCCCATGGATGAAAGAGAGAACTCATTTACTCATGTTTTACTTTAATTTGTCACAAGTTTGTATATATACTATATGTATACTTGACCAATAACTTGTACGTATACTACAAACATACTTGACCAGAACCTTATGGTGGCTAATTTATGCTGAAGTTACTGCTATCACTGTATACCTGGTATCACTAAGCCAGTTTGCAGGTGTTATCCTTTCACAGTGGCTGTTGGTTTGCAAAGGTTTTAGCCTATAAACTTGCTGAGAATATACTGTACATGAGCTACAAATGTTACACTGAGGGACTTGACCCAGGACTGCAGTGTTTCTGAAATGGCCTTGACATTTTTGGCCAGTGGTTGCAAGTAACTAAATGGGCCATTATCATATAATAATTAAATTGCACCACTGCTATTTATACAATATGTGCTACTCAGCAGTATCAGCTGAATAAAAGGTCATGTTGTCCTTGCATTTTCTGCAACATGCCTCAGCAATATGTCACCTAATGTAAAGATGCCCAAGGGGAATGGATTCTTTCAACCTCTGTGGACTAGTTTCAGTAGGTTGAATAGAGGGAGAGACTGAAGGCAGACTGGGATGGGCTTGTCTGCTGCAGTGCCATTTGAATCCTCTCCAACCCTTCTGCAGTGCGCTGGAACCCAGTGCTGATGTTGAAAGACTCCCCTGTTTTTGCCCATCCCACATATCATCACTGCTGGTACATCACAGCACCACTGTCCAAAAGCACCTCGAGGTTCCAAGAATAGACAATAACAATAAATATGCATTTGAAATCCTGTAACCAGCATGAAGGCCTGAAGTGAGAGTCATGGGACAGTGGTCAAGGACACTAACATCAGCAACAGAGGAGACTGTGGACTATTATCATCTATAATACATATTAGTGCTTAAAATAGGTGAACACATACACACACATGCACAAAAGGAGAAAGTCATTGTGCTCGTCTGCCTCCCTTGCTGTCTAGCTCTCTCTGTTCTCTCTCTCTCTGCCTTTCTGTCTCTGGAGCAATCTAAAATTGGCCATGCTTGATGCATTAGCTCACTTTGACTAAAGCTTGCAGTGGAAAGCCAATGACAGGGGCAAGAAAAATGTCGACAGCCGATTTGTGCCAAATGTCTAATTCAATGTTGAAAAGCAGAATAAGTTGTCTGCTGACATTCTAGATTCAAAACTAGCTGAATTTTAAAGGGAATACTTGACAGAAGTTCTAAAATAGTCATATACTGGTTCATATTTTTTAGGAATTTAGTTCAAAGTGCATGATTAGTCATTTGACTAGTATAAAAAACAACATGGGAAGGTTCAGATTACAGGACTTAAACAATATGGCAGCACTTGTAGAGGAGTGTGCGGATGATTTTGACAGAATGAAATGCATCTTCAAAAACCACTGATGCAGGTGTTTTTGGTGCATCACCTCCAATAACAGCTAATTATTTTGGACTGACTGGACTGACCTAAGATTACAGTGAAGCATCTAGATTGACAGGACATCAGCAGCCTGTATGTGAGGCCAAGTCACTGGACTGGCAGCCCACAGTAACCGCTCACTGTTCAGGGGAAATGTCTCAGCATTAAGATGGATAAGACACATATCTCATGCAGCTTTGCATGTAATATAGTAAGGATGCTACAAAAACATACTTTGCATGTACTGCAAATGTGTTGCTCCATATATCAGAATATTTTAGAAAATGTATTATTATGTATGTGTTACAACAATTTGTAGATGGAAACATCAGCACAACATGTAGACTGTACAAATTACTCCCTTAACAGTCTTTTAACATGTACAAGTTAGGCATTGGAGAGATTACATTTTGCAGAAACTTAAGTGTTGCAGATCAGTGTTTGACCTTTTAGGTTTCACTGATTTATATCAAATGAATAAAGGTTTGTACATGTGATTGTAAGACTCTGTTGTGAGATGACAAACTCAACAGGCATTTTAGCTGAGTTTCACAAAGCATCTTAATCTAAACTTCATCTTATGAGGTTTGGGTTAAAAGCTCAGAAATGAGTCAATGGCACTGAGTTATATTAAGTTATATAAATCAAAATATATACAACTTTTAAATTTTGGGCAGCATGGTGGTGCAGTGGTTAGTACTGTTGCCTTACAGCAAGAACCAGGTTCAAACTTGCATCCACAAGGGCATCTAGTATAAAAACTGTTCCAGATCAAATATGCCTATCAAGTGAAACCCCTAATAGGGAGCAGCTGAAGGAAGAAAAAAGTTTAGCTGCAGTCACTTTATGGCCAGGAAACAACTGACTGCTGTTCGTCTGGTCGCTATCCGTGGTGCTGAAAATACAGAACCAGATCTGAGGTCCTATGATTTTCCCAGAACACAGGCTACTCTAAGTCACGCCAAGTTAATATCTTAGTCAGTTTATTCATAATGGTGAATATCTATCTATCTATCTACTTAGCTAACTAACTAAAACGAACACCCACGTAGCTCCTTAGCCCACGTGGTTCAGAGTGAAAGGGACCCCGGACCACTGGCAGACAGGCAGAGGGGAGTGTTCCCTCCCCTCCCTTCGATCAGTGGACAAAACAAAGCTGCTTGGACTCGCCTTGTTAGCGGCAGAGCCTAAGATATATAAGGAGCAGACAGAGGAGGTCTCAGTTGCTGTGAGAGCCATACACCCCTCACCTGCACACACACATACACATAACACACATACACCCACATACACACTCGCAGCACGGCTCCAGGTCCAGTACTGTCTTCTTTCATTCCTGCGCCACATTCCCTAAGGTAGTCTGGCCGGATGAGTTACCCGGTGGACACATTAGGAAGCCCCTTTAGGCGTGTTATGGATACTAGGACGACCAGCTACGGCTAAAACCCCCCCGGGGGCACCCCCCAAAAAAAACCCGCGCCCCCCCCCCTCCAGCGGCTATCGCTCCCAGTCTTGGTCGCGGGCAAGCCCCGTCTCCACCATGACCCCAGCTTACAAGAGGAGCGTTAATGTACCAGTATCCCGAGCTTACAGTTCAACTGTGCTCAGCTCCGCCGACAGCGTTGATTATTGTCAAACCTCCATCCTGAACGGTGACTACAAGCGATCTAATGAGAAAGAGCAACTTCAAGGACTCAACGACCGGTTTGCTGTTTACATTGACAAAGTGCACTACCTGGAACAGCAGAACAAGCAGATCGAGGCAGAGATCCAGGCACTGCGGCAGAAGCAGGTGTCGCGCTCCCAGCTGGGCGACCTCTATGACCAGGAGCTGCAGGAGCTGCGCTCGGTGCTGGAGCAGATACACCATGACAAGGCACAAATTCAGCTCAGTACCGACCACATTGAGGAGGACATCCAGCGGCTAAGGGACCGCTTTGACGAAGAAGCTCGCATCCGGGAGGAGACAGAGGCCATAATCCGTGTCCTGAAGAAGGACACGAAGGACTCGGAGTTGGTGAAGTCTGAGTTGGAGAAGAAAGTTCAGTCGCTGCAGGATGAGGTCGCCTTCATCCGTAACAACCACGAGGAAGAGGTGAGCGACCTCATTGCCCAGATTCAGGCGTCTCAGGTGACAGTGGAGAGGAAAGAACTCCAGAAGGCAGACATCACCGAGGCTCTGAGGGAGATCCGCTGCGAGCTGGAGGGCCACTCCAATCAGAACCTGCAGCAGGTGGAGAACTGGTTCATGTGCCGCTACGCCAAGCTCACCGAGGCTGCCGAGCAGAACAAAGACGCCATAAAGTCCGCGCGGGACGAAATATCCGACTACCGTCGTCAGCTGCAGTCCAAGACCGTGGAGTTGGAGTCCGTCCGCGGTACAAGAGAGTCACTGGAGAGACAGCTGAATGACATCGAGGACCGCCACAACAGCGACCTGGCCAGCCTACAGGTACAGTAGGGAAACAGCTCCTAGGTAGCCACACAGCCGTGCGTAAAGAAGTGGTTATATCGTTTGAATAGACTGTTAAAGGACAGCCAAGCTACTTATTGATGTTTTGCAACTGAACAAATATTTTTGTGAGTTCACAATGTAATAATCTAGGTTTGGTTCGCCATAGTGATAATGAAGAGATAAAGTTAAGAGTTCATGCTTTTATAACTGACGCAGTTGTTATTTCATTTGGACTCAAAAATAGAAACATCCTTAATTACAGGTATATTCAAACAAATCACATCTTCTTCCTAAATCACGCGTGTTAAAACCTTTTCTGCAGCGTAATGATTGCCTTATGCGCGTCAGTGCGCGTACATTCACTTAGGGCTGACTTTTTTTTCGCAGGCTTGAGAGATTTACGAGCGTCAGGAAGCTGCTGAAGGGAAACACTGCAGCAGACTCTCTCTCTCTCTCTCTCTCTCTGTTATGCTGAGTCAGAGGCATGGGTCGATGCCTTCATTGGCTCGGCTCTTACATCACACCACTGAGACTGTGGAGCGCGGGTGGGGGCGTAATGACAGAGTGTGAAGGCTGCCCTTGAAAAAGCCATTCAACACATTTACGATACTGTATTGCGTCAGAATATTTTAATAGACAGACAGAGCCTACAGAATGTGCGAAGAGAACAAAGAAGGGTTCAGCTAACAGGGGATGAATTGATTAAATGATTAAAATTATAAATTATTTGAAAGTCTGTAAAAGTTTCCATGTGTCAGTGATTTTGAAAGCTGTATAATTTGAACCTGGATACAGTTTTGCTGCATGTAATCAACCTTATAATATCTTTGCTTTGTGTTCATTTAGGAGACAATTCACCAGCTGGATAATGAGCTCAAGAGCACCAAATGGGAAATGGCTCGTCACCTGCGCGAGTATCAGGACCTGCTCAATGTCAAGATGGCCCTGGACATTGAGATTGCTGCATATAGGTATATACTGATGTAGATCTGACATGTGAAAAGTAGTTTAGGAACAGCATGTACAGTGATTTTACAGCATTTCTTATCTGTATCATAAGAAGATTTTAATGTATCATGTATTTCTTGTCTCAACAGGAAACTCCTAGAGGGTGAAGAGACCCACTTCAGCACTTTCCCTTATCGCCAGACGGTCACCTCCACCAAAATTTCAAAGCCTAAGTCAGAGGCTCCGAAGCTTAAGGTGCAGCACAAGTTTGTGGAGGAGATCATTGAGGAGACGAGGGTGGAGGATGACAAGTCTGATATTGACGAGGCCCTGGCAGAAATTGCACATGAGCTGTCTGCCACACTTGAAGAGGGTGGAGAGGAGGGACAGGAGAAGGTGGGGGAAGAAGGAGAGGGTGAGGAAGCAGAGGGTGAGGGAGAAGAAGGTGGAGAGGAGGAGGAAGTTGTTGCTGCTACTGAAGCCAAAGTTAGCTCTAGTGCACCCACTAAGGAGGAAGAGGAAGAGGAGGAGGAGGGAAAAAGTGGTGATGGGGAGGGAGAAGGTGGTGAGGAGGAAGAGAAAGAAGAGGAAGGTGAAGGGGAGGATGAGGGAGAAAAGGGGGGTGATGCAGAGGAAGATAAAGAAGGAGAAGAGGGAGGAGAGGAGGAAGTTCAGGAGACCGTATTGAGCTCCAAAGCTCCTGTGTCTAAAGCCTCTCCTGACAAAGAGAAGGCCGAAGACAAAGAAGGCAGTGGGGGAGAGGAGGAAGCAGCTGACGAAGCTGGAGCTGAAGAAGGTGGTGATCAGGATGAAGATGCAGCCAGTGACAAAGGATCCAAAAGTGGAGATGAGAAAGAGGAAAAAGAGGATGTAGACAAAGACAAAAAGGAAGATGAAAAGAAGGTGAAAGAAGAGAAAGCAGATGACAGTTCAGAAAAAGTTGAAGCCAAGAAAGAAGCTCCAAAAACAGAAGCTGCAAAGCCTGAGGCCAAGAAGGAAGAGACTGCCAAAACAGAGGCATCAAAACCAGAATCCCCCAAGTCTGAATCACCTAAACCTGCATCTCCTAAGTCTGAATCACCTAAACCTGCATCTCCTAAGTCTGAATCACCTAAACCTCTCCTAAGTCTGAATCACCTAAACCTACATCTCCTAAATCTGAATCACCTAAACTTGCATCTCCTAAATCTGAATCTCCCAAGGAGGGCTCACCAAAGGCTGAATCCCCCAAACCTAGCTCCCCGAAGGCCGAGTCTCCGAAATCAGAATCCCCAAAAGCTGAATCCCCCAAAACAAAGACCGCCAAACCTGATGCTCCTAAGGCTGCTGATGAGACCTCAGAGAAAGACAGTGGCTCATCAGAAGACAAGAAGGTAGAAAAGAAGGATGTGGCCATGAATGGCGATATAGACAAGAGCAGCCCAGAAGAGAAGGGCAAGAAGGATGAGGGGAAAGAAGATGATGTGATTGCTAATGGTGTGGATGAGAGCCCTGTTAAGGAAGATGGCAGCCAGAAAGTGGTGATCACCAAGACCGTGGAGACCATCACCACCGGAGAGGACGGATCTCAGCGCGTTACCAAATCTATCACTGTGACCGAGACGGTGAAAGAGTCGGAGGAGGTGCAGCAGGAGAAGCTGGTGTCCACCAAGAAGATGGAGAAGCACTCCACCCAGTCCATCAAGCAGGTGACAGACGGCGACTGAGCAGACTCCAGACAGATGATCCAGAGAAGGAGGGGCAAGGGCCAGGACAAAAAGAAAAGCAATCAACTCAGAACTAACATAACAAAGAAAATCATACAGCTAGAGCGATGTAATAAAGATAATCACTCTCAAACATACAAAACAAATCATAGAAAGAAGCCAAAACTTAAATGCTATAAATTTTAAAAAATGCATGTTGAGTGAAAGCTTTAAATGGGCTTCGCTGCAGACGCGGTCAGGAGCAAGTGACTGAGACATTTTATCCTCTTTTTCTTTCTGCAGTTCATGGGTGAGCTCACAGGAGTTGGTGGTGGGGCGCCTCTGCATGCTAGCTCAGGGGAGGGGAATACTGTCCTCTCTTATCTGTGTGTATGGTAGAAATATGCTGTAAAAGAGTAAATATTTAAAAGGAATAAATGAGTGACAGAAAACCCGAGAGGATATTTTTTTTTGTTTAAGTAAAAAGAGGAGGACATGCAGGTGGGAGGGTCCTCGATATAGACAAACGCTCTACTGAAGAAGCCTTACATGACACATGAAGTTATCAACTGAGCCAAAAAGAAACTAACAACAAACACACAACGTACAGTGAAGAAAGACGCAGGTAGTAACATGATAAACACGTCCATATACAATACACCCAATAACCGAAGCAAATTCAAGCTTAAAACCTGAAGAAACTCCTAGCCTTAAACATGCTTTTATCAGCATTTGTTATGTTTACCTGAGTGCAAAAAAAATAAAAAATAAAAAATAAAAAAAAGTGCGCAGATACATGCATTCACATACAGTATGCATAGGATGGACTTGAATTTAAATACAGATATAAATGAGGTGCTACTGTTTGCAATCCAATGTGTTTACTCATCATGAATGATTTCCCAGCAGCATTTGCTCAATAAATGTCATAATGGAGTAAAAATGATGTCTCTTGTTATTTCATATTGTGTGCAGTTCAATTATATATACAGGTGTCTACTATTTCAATCAGCTGGCAGCGAAGAGCTTTACAATAAATGCATATTTGTTAAACTTAAAAAAGAAAAGATTATTTCAAATCTAATTTATACAGTTCTTATACTCCCTTGAATGTGCTTCTGATTTAGGATGCCATGAAATTCTAGGTATGTGGCTCTGTTTTGGTCATTCAGCAGCGATTTAAACCCACAGAGTGATAATAGATGTTATCACTCAAAGGGTGGAAGAAAAGAAATAGGACTGCATCCATGTCTACAAATTTTTATCATCAGTTTTTTTTAAACCCATCACTGGGGCAGTATAGTCCACCTAATGCAGTCAATCTGCTGCTGCTGCAGGCTGTCTACTCATATCACCAAAAGAAACAGAGCAGCTGCTGCATGATACCAGGTGTCAGAGGAAAATGTGTATCCCTGTGTGTGTCTGTGTGGATCACATTAGGGAAGATTACAGATGTTGTACTTCTGAAACAGATTGAAAACATTTACCACTAGTTAGTAAGTGCAATGCTGCAGGTCATCTTGTATCAAAATATAAGTAGTTTATAATGGTGCCGGTTTTTATATTTCATGTTAACAAAGTAATGAAAAACAGAACACACTGTCACATTAGAAATTACACTGCTCACCCTTAGTAAAAGCATGTAGTAGTAGTAGTATTAGAGTTTTTGCTGCTGTTATTTGCCTTTCTGACAGTGATATGAATTGGATGAATTTTGTCATGTAACTGAGATTTCTGAGCTACTGACTTCATGACTGTTCTTCATACTGTTACACTATGCTTTAGCATTTACTATTATCCTTTAAGTGCTATTTGTGCCACAGTGGCCACTGTTAAACAGAGGTTACATATTAATGGTAAAGGTAGTAGTACTATGTGAAAAACATATAAAGTGTTCTGTGCCTTCAGTGGGAGCTACAAGAAGTCTGATAAATGACTGGGGCTGAAGACACGCATGTGGAGTCCGAAATAAATTTGCTTAACTGACAAGTAGCCCAATGCAATTCTCTACTCATATATAATGTATCTGCTAGTGG